TCAAGGCCAAATAAATTCCATCCTTATAAATCTTTCTAAAGTAATGTTTAAACCTTTCTGGACTGATAAATTTACAATAAAGACCACGTAAATTCATCAGCAAGACAATCTCTCTCGATGAGGTTAAATTTTATATTGTTTAATTTTGAGCCATTAAAAACAGTATAAGACTTTTCAACTTCAACATTATTTTTACTATGATTATCTTCATAGTTTCAGTTAACTTGCGTAATTTTATGAATAAAATACTTATAAATTTTACAAATAAAATTTAGAAAATGTTTTTTTTTTTTTTTTTTTTTTTGAATCAGTCAATCTAAAACATAAAATAGAGAGTGATACCTCTTGTACCTTTAGTGAGTAAACATGTTGAAAGACAATATATTATGCAACATGCAATTAACTAGTAAGATAATACTGGTGGTACAAATAGGGTTAAAATTAATTGATTGGCTCATCTTAAATAGAATAATACAGAAGAGCAGATCATAATCTACGTACATAAACATTCATTAAAATTAAAAAAAAAAAAAATTAATGCTGTCACAATTTGGTGAACATGAACAACAAGATTAAAGAGTAGATAATAGGAAGATCATTAAGGTTGATAATATTGGTTAATGCAATAACCTCTGATAGATAGCAGTTCTCATGATATCTTCACTTATGCTTCCATCAGGAACTCTAATCACAATATCTTGAAGAACAAGTTCTTGAACACAGGAAACACTGACATGATGAATCTGAAAGTCAAGTTCTCTTAACACATCCATCATTCTTGCAGCTGGGTAGTTCATATCAGGAGACTGCACCCTAATCAGAGCTTCTGAGCCAACAATCTTAACGTCAACTTCAGTACTAGTTCCGTAGCTTTGACCTGCAGCTCGTGCGTAATCACCCGTAGATGATGTTGTGCTCTGGTTGTCGTAACATAATCTGGCTGCACCTCGGTTCTGGGATTGTGCTTGAAGTTTGGCTTCAAGTTCTCCAATTTTGGCCTTGAGTTCTTTGATGTAGGTTACTGCGTCAGACAACAAAGATGCTTTGTCCATTTTCGAGACGTTAGGGACTACTGATCTTAGTGCATAGAATCTGTTGTTGAGTCTCTCCCGACGTTGTCGTTCAGCTTCAACGTGGTTTAGAGGTGAATCTGAGCAGCCATTGACGGGCTTTCTTCCTCTTTTCTTCACCTGAACATTGAAATGGCCGTCAGAGTCAGAAGGGCCGGAATCTGAAGATGAACGCCCTAACCCGATTGTCACTTCTTTCTTGATTTCTCCAGTTGTTGTTGTAGTTGCAGGAAGAATTGCAGTACCCAGGAAAGGACTAATAATGCGACTAGCAGGAAGGTGATCAATTAGCTGTTGTTCAGCTTCATTTTGCCTGCAGGACAAGAAGCTGGGAATATCAGAATTAGCAAAGAGTGATTTGGCTAACTGCACCATGCCCCAGTCCTCTTTGATCATATCTGAAGAACCAAATTCAACAACTCCACAAGGAGTTGCGACACAGACCAAAGTCTGGATTCTATGAGCACGAGCCTCTCTAACTCTCTCACACTGATCATAAAGCTGTAACTCATGATCACCAGTTAACCAAAGAAAAGTCCCACAACTGAAACTCCTGCCAAGAATTCCACCATCTTCTACACCAAAAGTTCGACCCACTGACGACACAGTGTAATACCACTCATAGTCAGTCACATCTCCATCTTCCTCAAGTCTGTCCATCTCCATCTCCTCAGTGAACAGAGCATGGATCTCTCTGCTCAACTTCTTTCTCTCCAGATTAAACCCGAATCTATTTTGCTTTGACAGCTTCTTGCTGGCCTTAGTTCCACGAAAAAAACCATCACCCCATGATAAAGAGAGCTGGCCATTAGCATCCTTGCATGCTTGCCAGAAAATCGAGTAAACCCACCATTCAGGTCGGCTTTGCACGATGAACTGGAGACGTTGTTGAAGAGTAGTAGTATTCGTGGGTGAGGATTCTTGGCAGACTGACATGAGAGAAGACAAAGAAGCGGAGGAAACAAGATCTTCCATGCTACTGTATATTATTTTAGTATTTTCAAACTAAATATATATATTAACTTGTTGGTCAATTAGTACTGGGAGAGAGAGCGATGGATACCAAAATATGCATATGTAGATGATAAATAAAATGAAGAAGAGAAGAAGTGAGAATGAAGAGATGTTTGTTGGTTGTTCGGGGAACCCAAGAAACACAAATGGTGAGAAAATATAGAGGGGGGCGGAGGGATGATTTAATATTTAAAGCGGATGTTACGTTTAAGAGAGATGTGATTCACGTGCTAATCAAAGTTTACTGTAGCTGGAAGACCAAAGGGGCAGAACGTGATTATGATACATAACAATTCTTTCATTTTTAGATTGGGAGGATTCACTTCCCCTCACTGGGCCCCCACCTTACTCCTTCTAGAATTTTTTAATTAAAAAAATTATTTCCTTGAATTTTATTTATTTTTATTTTCACTTATAATTAACCCCAAAAATAAAACATAACATCTTGGGTTTGTTTTATACACCCATCTGCTTCTTTTATGTCAAATCCAAAATTGACCTTAAGACATTATCTAACAATCATCACCACTAATACCATCAAATTAATTAACACCATACAATGGACTAAACCACATGTACATATATATTAAATTGGGTTCATGAATGGCATCTAGAAAAACATATCTTGTCAAATTTTAAAATAAATAAATTCCAAAGTAAATTGTCCACTCATCATGGAGTGTTTTTTTTTTTTTTTGAAAGGAAATTTAATTATATAATAAACTCACACGACATAAAAAAAAAAACAAAAAATTAAAACTGACTCTTTGATACGAAGGGAAAAAGAAATAATAATTAATTTAAATTTATTAGTTTATTCCACAGAAGGTTAATTAGGTATGCTTATCATACCTGCCCAGGATAATTTCAATATATTTATCTATATTTAATACATATATATATATATATATATATATACACACACACACATAGAGAGGGGGGAGAGAGGGGGGGGGGGGGGGGGGATAGATTATGCAAAATAGAAAAAAAGAGTCCGACATATACATATATATATATGTGTGTGTGTGGATTCTTGAGGTAGAAAGATATTGTCATTAAGTAAATAGAGATATATATATATATATATATCTATACGCATATATGGCCATTATCACGTTATAATTTAACATTAATGCCTAAATTTATCAATGATTTTTTTTTTTTTTAAATTATTCACCCGTTATTGCTCTGGGAGGGATAAAGCCACGTGCAGAAATGAATTAATTTAGTCCATAATTGATTTCGCTTTTATCCTTTTTTTTTTTTTTTTTTTTTTTGGGGTTTAGAGTAAGATTACTTTTATCCTTGGTTATAATACTTATTCATGATTTTTTTAATCAATGTTATGCATAGCTACCTACCATTAATCTATATAAATATAATAATATTCATTCTGGGATATGTTATATATATATATGTGTGTGTGTGTGTGTGTGTGTGACTCCATTAATTTTTTCCCATGCAGCAACTGAAAAGAATCATATCATTGCTGTCTTTTGATGCTGTGCGAGATCATGAGTAACGAATAATTCCCTATAAAATTATTACCCAATCGTACTATATATGTATCTGATGAATAATTGTCAGAAAAATATTATATTGGTTTCTACTTCTTTTTTAATATGATACTAATTTCAAATTTATTTAAAAAAAAACTGTAAATTTAAAAATAATAATTTAAATCCAAAAATAACAAATTTAGTTTTAATCTCAGTACAATTCCAGCAGTAAAAATTTTGACGTACCAAGCGTAACTCGGTCTTTTACATTCTCCAAACAAAGATTTTCGTATTTAAAATACATATTAAAGCAAAAGAATAACTTTACATGAAATTCTATTCGTCTGCACATATATAATGAAAGGGAGAAAAATTCAACTCCATGATACTACAAAAGGGTAAATTAATATAGTTTAATAACTTATAGTTTAGAGTTTTAATGATCCACCATATGTAGTCTATTTTAATAATTTTCTGCATTAATAGTTTAACTAGCAGGAAGATAATGTAATATCTTAAGTTCAAGACGCAAGAAAAATATGGGTCTTAAAAATTTTTGATATATGAATGACTCATGCTACAGCTTTCATGATTGAAAAAGCTCAATAAAATAAGATCTAAATAATATTTAAAAAATTATAACTAAATATAAAATTAAAATATAATTTTTTATAAAACAAAAATCAAGACTACAGTAATATTTGGAAGTTTGTGGATATTAAAATTTTCGTAGAAATTAATCTCAAATCACACACACTCACATAAAGTAACGAGTAAAAAAAACACAAGACCTGATTCGCCAGAGATGTCTACATCCACGGCAAGACCAAGAAATTTTTTTTCCACTATTATGAATAAGTAAAACACATCAAACTAGTTGGACAGTAAACCTTTATATATATAAAATACTAGAGTTTTATCTAGAATATTTTTAGAAGATACTGGAGTATTTTAAAAATATATCCAGAATCAAGTGACATCAACAAATCTTTTCTTTGGATTGAATTTTTTATATCAACATCAATGAAAAAAAGTAACCATCTCATTATATTGTCTTGCAAAAATGCCTCATAGAGCACAATTAAGTATTAAATACTCTAACCAGGTTTAGGTAAGTGCCTAAACTTACTAATCAGGATCTCCTTGGTCATCATATCTGCAGGATTATGATAACATCCAACCCCTAAAATAAATAAATATATATATATGTGAAAGGTAAATAAAAACTAGAATTTGGATTTAAATTAAAGAGTTTTTTGGAGGTTTATTTAATTTCAATGACTTCAATGAAAACAAGTAAGAAAAAAGGAAGGTGAAAGTATAAATAAGTGGAAGTGGAAGGGGGCAAAAAGAAAACAGGGAACGAATGGTCCTGATCGAACCTTCTGAGAAGATCAATGGCTGAGTTTTTATGAAAAATAAACAACCCAAATCGAGCTAGTGAGATCCAATGGTTGCGGAGGACGAGTATAAAAAGGAAACATTTAGGGTTTTTCTTCATTTGGGAGAGAAGTCAAAAAAGAGAGGGAGAATGAGATAGGAGCCAATCGGGTGAGAGAGAAGGGAAAAGGTTTGTTGAGCGGGGGAGCCGAGAGAAATAGAGGAAAGGAAGATAGAGGCCAGACAAAAAGAAGGGAGAGGGGGAAAAAGAGTAGTCGAGCAGGAGAGTGAAGGGAGAGCCGAGAACAGCCACTGCAAGGGAATAAAAGGAAAGAGGAGAGAGGCAGAGGCGGGAGAGTGGTGGAAGTGAGCCGAAAGAAAGAATGAGGAAGAGGAACTGGCTCTAGATGTCGTGCGACGGCAGAGACCAATACGAGTAAGGTAAAAAGGTTCTTTTTTCGTCTTTTCTTCCCCTATTTTCCTTTAATCTTTTTCTATTTTACACTAACTAATTTTTAGGCGTGAAAATCATCATTCCAATCGCAAACAAGCAATGGAGCAGTAGGGTGGCCGAGAGGAAACCATACGGAATCGAACTGAGGCTGAAACGCACCATGCCATGAAGGTAAACTTCTTTTTGTGTGTTTTGGTTGGTGGTTAAGTGACAGGGAGCAATGGTCGGTGTCGGGTTGGTCACGCAAGCTCAGCCTGGCCCTACCTATTCGGGAACAAAGGAGCCTTCTTCGGGAATGGGAAACCGGACCACCAATGGAAGTCGAGGGGCCTTCTCAGGGATAAGGACCCAATTCACCCATTTAGGAATCCGATTTGTCGCTCGAAAAGTTGAAAAATCTTCCTCGATTACGGGAATCCAATCCACCGAACGGGAAGTCAAAAGGTCTTCCTCGGGTACAGATCTTAATATTTTCGAGTATACTGTTGGGTTGTCATTAAAACCCGTAATTTCGGTTAAATTAGTTTTTTTTAGTATTTAAATTATATTAATTAATTTGTGTTGTGTGCGTACAGGGAATTAGGACGCTTAGGTGGATCCAGAAAGATTGCGTAGGAGTGTAAGTATTTCTGATTCTGAACCTTGATTACAATTTTTGAATTTTGCATGTATTTTATTAATTTTATTTCTATTTTAAATTTTGAACGGATACTGACCCAATTTTCGATGAGGAACAGAACCTTAACCTATAACAAGTGAACCTAAGCTATTGAAAATTATTAGGTGATGGAACTAGAAAACAAATCCAAGGACTAAAAAATACTTGAACTGTGATGAGAAATGATTTTAAACCTAAAAGAAATTACTAATTAATTAGAGGGTTGAAAAAGAAAATAAAATAACATAAGGAAATAAAAATAAAAAAGAATAATTAAGGTTGTGAAATGTTGTTAAATAAAATTTAAGAGAAAATATAATAAGAAGAAAGTAAATAAGAAAACAGAAACGAGAGGATGCGAGTGATTAGGGTATGGACCAGAATGCCTTTTCATTTAACCTGAATCGAGAAGGGAGTGTATGTGTATGGCTGAAGTTCAGCGGGCATGGTAAAACTGCACATGGATAGAGTTTGAAACCTAATCCAGATGTGGATAGGTGTTTATGAGTGTGGATCACCTAGAAAACATACCTGTTGTGGCCATTGTGAGATTTTATGCGTGTGCTATTCATGCGATGGGGGGGGATCCATTTTGCCTCTCCTCGATGATGATATAAATAGCATCGCACGATGAAACCTTAGAATAATTTTTCGAGGGTATATGTGATTTTTCATGTGTATGTAGTGTATATTTGAGGTTACGATTGATATTCGAGTGTATATATATTCTTTCGAGAGTATGTGATTATACTTCGAGGATTGTAAATGATATTCGAGTTAAATTCTGAAATTCGATTAGAAACATGTGAAAATGGAGAAAATAATAAATGAATTTTGCTTTGAAACTTTACTATTGTATTTGTCTCATATTGTGTGTTTTGCATGAAATCTTATCTGGGTTGAAAGGATAGAAATACTTATTGAGTTGGTGAAATTCATTAAATTTCACCTTGATATTTTTTAGATGAGA